GAAATAAACTGAATAGAATTGAATTGATAAGAACTTCAAACTAAACTGAACGAGTTCCTGCCTATTCTCTAAACTAATAAAGATAAGTAGATTTACTGCACATCTAATCATTTCTGCATAACTCACAGGCTCATGTGCATGGAAAGCTTTAAAACATTATGCAGTGGCAAACTCTAGTATTAACACCTTAAAGTTAAAACCTATCTTCATTATATATCACTTTATTTGTATTTTATGGGATGGACCAACACAAAGCTTGAAATATCTTTATTTAGAAAGATGAATAATACAAGACAAGACTTTAAAAGGGTCTTAAAAATTATTTGGGATACTTGCGCCACCTTCAGATGCATCTGAGGGTGTTTTGGCAAATATCTCTGGCAGCTTTCAACACCTGGAAGTTTCAGCATTAAAATCAATTGAGAAGTGCAGTTTCTGGAGTGTGTTGTTGTCTAAAAGGTTCAAAGTACCACTATTAAAGTTCGCTCTTCGACCTTTATGATAAAGAAGCAATCTCTGTCTATCATAATCTCCCTATATTAGATTGTGTACATAAAGCAAAATAAAAAGGAAAATGACAAACTTCTAAAAGTTGAAAAAGAAACGTGTTTTTCTTTATCTTAGAATAGAATAAAATAGAATAGAAAATCCCTTCATTGTCCCACAATGGGGACATTCTGGTGTTTACAGCAGCAAAAAGATTATAGAAAAAATGGTCACACAAATGTGGACCTTAGAGGAATTTATAAGAATAACACAATAGTTAAAAGTTAAAAATGACATTTTACACACACTGTTAATGTGAAGTAGCACTTAATAAATTAGAACCACTGAATATATATATATTTTTTTAAGTTTGTGCAGTTTTATTGTAATTAGTTTAATTATAGGTTGAATTTATGAAATAAATAAATCAATAAGAATGAGCAAGCTGTCGCAGAAAAGATGCTAAAGTCTGTTTTTACTTAACAGGAAGCAGCGTTTCCTGGTGCTTTTATTTTGACAGGACAAAGCGGAAGTGCCGTGCTGCTTTTCGCAGGTGACGCGCTGTGATTGGATCCTGCTGTTGTCTCGCTCGCTATTCTCATCAAGATGGCTGCTGTTGTCGGGGATGGAGAATAACGACAGGCTGTCATCCGCAAACAGGCCGAGGAAACAGATCTAAAAACCCGAAGCGGAAAACTTCTAGTGAAACTAGTTCTTTTTCTGAAGGTAAATCTCTTCCTCCCTCTTCTTCTCACCGTCAGCATCCTTTTTTTTTCTGCCATCGATTAATAATTGATTGACACTTGTCGTTGAGGAATGAATCAGATCCCCGCTCTGGGTGTGTGAAGGTATTTTTCACGGCAGAATTTATTCATTTTTGGACTGAATTGTGTCATTTAAGCTAATTTCGTCTTCGGGCGGTAAATCGGTGACCGTGTCCGATAGCATGAAGGTTGTTGAGGTTAAAGCAGCCATATAACGCTGTTATAAACCAACGCGGCTGACATCAAAGGACGGGGCGTGGCTTCATTCTGCCACTGAACCAGGCAATTATCATTATTAGGATTAATATTATTATCAATAAAAGCAACGACTTGCTTTATTGTTATATCATACAAGCTCTGAAATCTGTTTAAAAAGCGTATTATTATTATTTTTTTTTTTGCACAAAAAACGTAAAAGTAAATAAAATAAAATAAAAAATACAGGATAAAACCAATCAAGTTTACAGTTTGGTAAGATGATGTATTTTTAGGACAGATATTTATTTATTTTTTATAAATTATCCAATAGTCCATTGGTGCACCTGCTCAGAACAAAGAAAGCAGGACATATACGGCGTTAAATTGCTGCCAAAAATCAGATGAGCGTATTAAACAATAAAAATAGTGCAGTTATTTATCACAATTGCCCATTTATTAACCGAAAGAGCGTGTCACTACCTGATCCTTTCTGCACATGCAGCATCATCCAGATAAACTTCAGGGTCGCCCTCAAATTTTATTTTGTTAAAACAGACCTAAATAACGTTTTCCCCCAAAATAGGAAGCGTACTGAAATATAATGTGTTAAAGGTTAATAATGTATTTCCTGAGAAAATAAATCCCGTAAAATCCTTTCTGTTTTATCACTCATCGGAAATAGGATTCTACGCAACATAGATCTAGTCTTTTTAAGTCTTATTTCGTCTTAACATTACGGTATACAGCTTGTTACCCAAAGAAAGAAACAACTAAAATACAGATAAACGCGGTTTAATCGTATTTTGCCGGACTGCTCTGAGCATGTAGCATGATGACGTCAAAGAAGCAGTTTAATGAAGAAAAAGCATCAAAATTGTCTCACAAAAGTCATAAAACAATTTTTAAAGATGTGTGTTAGCATTCTTTAGAGAGTTAAGGATAGAAATACGTAATTTTAGTACGATAATTACATTATTTTTGGACACCTGGATGTATATGTGTTCGCGCATACGCAGGACGGATTGGATAGTAACAGAGCGCATAGCAGTGATCGCGGGCATGTATAGTTACACTACAACTAGCTGCTTATCACGATTAATTAACTTAATTTGACTGCTGCGAGTAACAAACTTATTTTGCAAACTGAATTTGCTTATTTTGGTACGAGGCACTTGGTCATGGTTTCACAATCTCAAAATATGTAGCAATATCATCAACTTAATATAAAAAATAATTCAGAAACACCAAGCTAGCTGCTAGCTTCCACCAGATAGGAGCGGAAAATCCGACCAATCAGATCCAGCGGAATAGAAAATTCCCCTGACTGACATTTTACTACAAGAGAGGGGGAGGGGGCGTGTTTTTCTGCACGCCGTGCTGCGTTCAATAGCACTTGATTAACAATACACGCCCGCGATCTCTGCTATGCGCTCTTTACGTTATTAAATGCGAGGTTTTATTAACGATTGCACTATTGTGATTGCTTAATACGCTCGTCTGATTTTTGGCAGCAATTTAACACCATAGACATAAATAAAAGAAGTAAAAACAAGAGTGGAAATTATGATTGAAAACATCAAATGTATTATTGAAATCCTTCCAAATGTTAGGATTTATCACAACAGATGTTAAGTCAAGATTTACAGTTTCATGGCTGACTATTAAAGAAATGAAATATAAGAAATATTAAAATATTGGTATTTTTGTGGCAGTAGTGTTTATGGCATGCAGGGAAAGGTGCAGAACTGGGCGGGTTCTGATGCTCCTGCTCAGCTTCTGCCTCATTGGTCGGTTAGAGAGAACCCAGTTGGAGATAAAAAGCAGCTTCTCAGTCTGAGAATGAGGCCAACAGAGGAGCAGCTGCTTGTTTGGCATCATTAAAGGCCCGACGTTCAAATTACAGCATTTCTCTGAATATCTGCAGAAAGACGGGTTGGGGCAGAGAAGAAGCCTCCAAATTGCTGCATTTAAGGGTTTTACTGGGAATCCTGCTGGTGCAGGTTTAGGCTGCACGCCCATTTTCCCTGTTTGAACAGCCGGGGTAACGGCTCCACCCTAACACCGCCTGGGAGTCAGATGTTAGCTTCAAATTTAATGCAGTCTGTTCAGCAGCTACACTGCAAAAAACATCCAGAAACAAGTAATAATGTCTTAAATTAAGTGTATTTACCTTTAATTTGAGCAGGTAAATAAGATTATTTTCCAGTGGAATGAGTATTTTTACTCTTAAAATAAGATAATTAGATAAAATGCACTTGAAATAAGACAATGCAATATTTTTTACCTATTATAAACGTTAATTGTCTTGTTCTTTTGGCAAAGTGTCTCAATTACCACCTCAGTTCAAGAGAAAATGCACTTATTTTAGGAAAAAAATGACTTAGATTTACATTTTTTGCAGTGTATATGAGTCTTTGACATTTATTTGGGGCTGAAACGATTAATCCTTATCGATTATTACAATAAATTTAAACTAATTTATTAATTGAATCAAATGGTTGCCTATTGTAACGGTTCAGTCTCCATAATTTACTGAAAAAAATAGCCTACTTCCTGCAGAAATTCAGACAAAACTTTACAAAATATAAACATTTTCCATTCAAGATCAAAAATCTTAGTATTATATGTATATAATGATATCATTACATGTATATTTACATGTTTTTTTTCTTTTAGAATGATTTTTTAGTTAGAAATGTTAATTTATTGAATCTTTTTGATGAATCAGTTACTCCAAAAAGAAAATAGATTGAGAAAATAACTGATTGCTGCAGCTCTACTTTTTATTTCTACATCACAATCATCTGTGATCTCATCATATTGTGTTGAAGTTTGGGGGAATACATACAAAACAAATTTACAGCCATTATACGTTTTACAAAAGAAATCAATGAGAATACTACATAAAGTCGGATACTGGGAACACACAAACCAGTTATTTATCAAATCAAATATACTGAAATTCTGCGACCTGGTAATATTTAGAACTTTACAATTAAGGTCCGAAATCAAAAACTTTCACACAATATACGGGAAATGTTTGGTGACAGAGAGGGGGGGCTATGATCTAAGAGGTGAAGGATACTTTAAAAAACAACAACACTTTAGAACAACCAGGAAGAGTTTTTGTTTATCTGTGTGTGAAGTAAATGTCTGGAATTGATTGAATGACGAGTTTAAAAAAATTATTAATGCAAATTAAAAAAACTGATTAAAACCTAGCTCATTTCAAAATACGCTACATAAGATGACTGTTTAATAGTCTATAATGTAATTGATGACATAAATAGTACTTAAAATAATTGTACATGGCTTTTTTTGATGTTTTGTCAGTTAATTGAGGATAAATTGACAAGCAGGAAAGGGGCGGGACATTATAAGATGTATCCTCTACCTGCTCCTTTTCGAACAGAAAATATAAAATATGTCACATGGGCAAAATAATTTGTTTTATATTTTCATTCTTAAGTTTGTTTCATTCAAATTTTTTTCTTTCTTGATTGTTTTTACTGTCTGTTCGAAATAAATAAAATAAAAATAATCTACCTGCTGAGTCCAGGTTGTCTGTGATTGGCCGTTAAGAACAATTAGCCACTTAAGGCGCAGTATGTTGATGGCGGATGCACATGGAGACCCCGATCAGAATTATTTGATCTTTACAAGCTTTTCCATAATCAGATTATGATTATTATTATTATTATTATTATTCATTTCGTTTGGATTAAAATGGCTTTAAAAACCAGCAGCTGATATTTCTCAGACATCCTCCACCGTTCTGATCTGGACCAGACTCAGATATGAGGAAACCAGGAACAGACGTGACAAACAGCTTCCCTTTGTATGTGAGATGTGTAGGCTGTCGCCATGGTGACAGCCGCCCATTTTAATGTCCGCCTTTGATGAGAAATGAGATCCTGCCGTCGTCCCGCTATCAGCCAGCTGAGGTGTTTATCAGGAGGCGAGCAGAAGCTGCCGGCTGGTCTGAGGTCAGCCGACGTCTTCACAGCTGCCGAAGCTTCATCTGAACAGGCTCCGCCCACCGGGACGTTTGTTTATCATCTTTTCCATAAAGCATCTTCTGAGGACATTTCTAAAGCCTTTAAAGTCGATCATCTGTTATTTTTTTTAGCTTAAACCTGACAGGAACGCTTCTTTCCTCCGTCTCCTACAGGAAGAAGGTCAGGGACAGACGAGCCGCAGACATGGACACCACCACGTCCATCAAGATGACCACTCTGGCCATCCAGAACCTGTTCAGCTACGTAGAGGAGGAGAACCTGGGCGCCCTCAAAGCTCACCTGGACCGCTTCAAGGAGGTGGACGGCCGCAGCGACGTACGTAGCGCTCAGCTTCCCTCACCTTTTTTTAACTCTTACATATTTTTACATCTAAATTTAAACTCTTCTACTTTATTCTTTTTTAAAGCACTTGATAACAAAGTGTTTCACTTAAAAAAAAGAATGATTAAAACTTAAAAAAAGTAAAAACCATAAAAACAAAGAGGTTAAAACAATAAATAAGTCTCATTCTGTGCTGAAAACTAAACAATAAATGATTAATTATTATGGATTTATCGATCTAAAATATTTATTTCATTGTTTTAGGTATTATAGATTAGTTTTTGATTCCATTTGCTATTAATTGAATTAAATCATATATTTCTCTTCATTTTAATGTGATTTAATAACAAAGTGAATTAGGTCCGTATTTAGTTTTCATTGTTTCTTGGTTTGTTTAGTTTATCGTCTCTGATTTATTCCCTGGATGCTGATTGTTGGTAGTGCTGGGTTGAAATGAAGCCACCGGCCGCCATATTGGCACTCCCTAGTTAGACCGGTCGCAATGTAAACAATACCTGCACCACAGCATCGAACAACGATGGTTTCTCATTTTCAGGGTGACTTCAGACTTTTAAATAAAGATGCATTCAGGGTTCGTAATCTGAAAATCCTTGAAAATGCTTGAATTTTGACGTTGTGTTTTCAAGGTTTGAAAATTGCTTATATTTTGGATGAAATGCTTTAAAATGCTTGAAATTGCAACTATTTCTTTCACAACAAATCCCTATCTAACTGAATCGTGTGTTTATTAAATGCAGAAATAAAATGTTGGAGAGCCCGAAAATGAAACCTGCTCGCTTCTGTGTGACTGCGATGTGCCAGTCTATTTCCATGTGTGACTCCGCCCCCATGAAACCACTACTGCACCATGCCGGGAGGTTGTCGTTTCAATGAACGTTGGCTGGAAGATGAAAAATACAAATTAAGGATTAAACGGGGACAAACCCCACGAATCGCCTCTTGTAAAGTCTGCAAAAAAGATGTGCAGCTTTTAGCAACGGGCGAGTCTGCGCTGTCGAGTCACATGAAGGGTAAGTCATAGACTTTTAAGTAAGCCAACTGAAGTAGCCTAGAACACGTTAACGTTAGTGCCTATTTGTTTACGCTAGTAACTGCTAGCTAGGAATTCACAGGCTACGTTACTGAGTGACTGAGAGTACGGTGCGATAATGTAATGTTAGTATTGCAGTGTTTCCCGCAGCACTATCTTGGCGGCAAACTCACGCTACCGCCTCGCCAACGTTAAAAAAAAAACCCAAACAAAAAAAAAAAAACGAAGTTTTAATTCATTTCCAGGCCCAGACCTTAAAACAGCATCAATAACTCTACGGCTAATTATACTCAATTGCGACACCCTCTGGTTGGTTATATTACTACGCCATGGCAGAGGAGAAATTTTCTTTGATCATCCGAGGAGATGTGTGGGGGGGGGAAACATCTTTGTCGTCTTCATCATCGTTGAACTATAGGAAAGGTAAGTAGTTAATTAAAACTGATAATAGAAAATTAATATCTGCCTCGTGTGCTCTGACAAATTAAGATAGGATTTAGTTTTATGTATTCATCCTGGCAGTCATCCGCGCAAAACTGGCTGACAACACTAAATAATAATTTTGACTATACATTGGTATGTAATTTACGGCGGTGTAAGGTGCTGGAAAAAGTTTTAAAATGGATCTTGAAAGTGCTTGAAAAGTGCTTGATTTTGACTTTGTAAAAGGTGTACGAACCCTGTAAATTCATCACTTTGACACACTGGCTGTTTCATAGCATCACTAGCTTATTTTAAGTTAGAATAAAAAAATAGTCACATCACATGGCATAGTCATTAGGAACTCTATAGTCATCATGTAATATAACAAATTGTTCAAAACCATCACAATAAAATTCATGTGGCAGGGCTCGATGTTAACCATCGCCCGTTCGCTCGGGGCAAGTAGTTTTTATTGTCGGGAGAGTATAAATTTCATTGCATTTGCCCGGCGGGTAAGTGCAATGATCGCAATAAAAAATTATTCATCACTCAAAATTACTTTTAAATCACCAACATTCGCTTAAAAAATGACCCAGAAGCGTTGCCGGCGCCATTTTTGTTTTGTTTTTGTACACATTTTCGGAAATTACGTATGGAACGTCTTCCTGCAGCCAGAAAACTGATTGTTTTTGCAGCCAAATGCTGAACATGGAGGCATTTTTTATTGCATGTCTCTGCGGGAGTGGGGAGTACCAACATGGCGGACGGTGGCCTCACTTTGTTTTGATCAATCAGCAATCCAGTGACTGAACAGAGAGCAGTGGTTTGGGTGTGTTCACCATGTTTGCTGCGTGCAGAACGGACAGACGCCGCTGATGCTGGCGGCGGAGCAGGGCAGCCTGGAGATCGTCCAGGAGCTCATCAGGAGGGGAGCCAACGTCAACCTGGACGACGTGGTGAGCAATATCCCCATCACTTGTTTTTCTATGCCTTTCCCCGTGGTTGCTAGGACACGGGCCAGTTGATCGGCTGTTTCCGTGGTAACAGCGCTCCCTGTGCGTGCTTTCAGGACTGCTGGTCGGCTCTGATCTCTGCAGCCAAAGAGGGTCACCTGGAGGTGGTGAGGGAGCTGCTGGAGAACAGCGCCTACATCGAGCACAGAGACATGGTGGGAGCAGAGGCTCATGGGAAACGTAGTTGGAACTGATGTTATGGTGGATGTTGGTGTAAGGTGACGTTCTGTGGTTCAGGGCGGCTGGACGGCGCTGATGTGGGCGGCTTATAAAGGGCGAGTGGAGGTGACCCAGCTGCTGCTGGAGCACGGAGCCAACCCCAACACCACGGGACAGGTAGGCCCCCCCCCCACCCCACACTGGCTGTCTGTAGTCACGCTGCAGGGCGTGCTCTGACACCCCCCCTCCCTCCTCTCTGAGCAGTACAGCGTGTATCCCATCATCTGGGCCGCAGGACGGGGACACGGCGAGATCGTCAGGCTGCTGCTGCAGCACGGAGCCAAAGTCAACTGTTCAGATAAGGTGACAGAGAGCAGCTCCGTCTGAGGTTCAGAGACGCGCCGCCGTCGGCGCTTCGCACCAAACGTCTGTCTGTCTGTGTTTGTCTGGCAGTATGGAACCACCTCCCTGATCTGGGCCTCCAGGAAGGGGCACTACGACTGCGTGATGCATCTGCTGGAGAAAGGAGCCGACGTCGACCAGGAGGGCGCGGTAAGGGAACATGGGGGCGTTGTTACCGTGGCGATACGTCACTTGAGTCCCTCCCACATTTCAGTTGAAGCTGAAAATCTGATGAAGTGAAACCAAAACATGTTAGTTTGGTACAAATGTAGTAAAATAAACCCATCAGGATGAAGGTGAAGGTCTTTATCCTGACAGGGGTCCCTCACCTCGATGTTCCAGAAACCTCCATCCAGATTTAACCAGTTAAAACCATTTAAAAGCCAATGAAATTCTGGTCATGGGGACGTAAACCGTCTGGGTATGAAAATAAAAGCTGACGAGACAAATTAATGCACAACAGGAAGTAGCCGCAGCCAGGTTTCAGTGCGTCCATTTGTTTCTATTTCCATCCAGGAACCTTTTTCAATTAAAAATGTCAGAAAT